CTTAACTAAGGTCACGTGTTTATCTTGTTATTTTAAAAATAGAGAAATGCATTATTATATATAGTAGATAAGGATTAAGTGATTGTAGAGAATAATCACCATGTTTAGTGAGATTATTAACAATTTCAAAACCAACTAACTGAACTTTTAGTTGGTTCAAATTTGTGACGTGCAGATGAAACAAGTGATGATGATTTATCATCAAATTAAACTCTACCACTAACTTGGATTATGTAAAGATGATCCCATTTATGTAAAGTTGATTTTCATAAGATAGCAACAATACATGTTTCAGTAATATTGTTCGAATAGTCAGTGATAGAGTCAGAATTTTTTCTAAAGAAACTCAAAATATAAAGAAAAGAAATTCAACATCCATTATATATACGTAAAAATATAATCATAATTTTTACTTTATATATACAGTATAATTTTAATAATATTATAAAATCATATATAAGGGTATAATTAAGATGGAATGATGAAGCCAAGAACCTTGTGATATCTCAAGAGATAACACAGTTTCTGTAGATCTTGCAGCTTTATTTTGTGTCTAATTTTCTACTACTAGGTACATAGAATTCGAACTAACATAATAAATAATAAAATGTGGGGTAAACACTTGGAGTTTGGACAAATATAATATATTATCATTTACTGTTTCTCGACGTGTGCATGGGAATGACCATATTGTATTATTACATTTATTTCCACACCTTTTTTCATAATGAACAATAAGGTACTTCATGAGAATGTATAACTTTGATTAGAATCAATAGTTTTCTTTTTTTATCTAATACCATTTTGCTATAGTTAAATAATTTTCTTGGATTTGTTCCTCTCATAAGATGTAGTTATGCAAATCATTTAGAAAATTATCTAATTGAGTAAATTCAATCATTTCCAAAACCGGATCTAGTCCAATTATTATGTTGTCATAGGCATGATTAAAAAATGCTAAAATTTCAAGGTAATTATAATTATATATGGAAGAGATAACTAAATGAAACTCGAGTCTAAGTCGCCAAATCTTCAATTATTAAAAGGGGGGAGGGGCGGGGGGAGGCAGTCTGGTACACTAAGCTCTCATGTACAGGGTCCAGAAAAAGGCCAAATTATAAGGGTCTATTGTACGCAATCTTAATCAACATTTCTACAATATAAGATAAATATGCAAATTATTATGGAACAAATAGGAAAAAATTCAATTTACAAATTAGAAATAGCTTATACACGTATTTAAACTTAGTCAATGCCTCATAGGATGAGCTATTCAATGATCTCATCTTCGAACTCGAATTATAATTTCTCTTTCTTTCTTTTTTTCCTCATTTTTTTTTACGCGCGGAGCTATAATATTAGCTTGGTTTAGGACGAACCATATAACTTTTGTTTAGATCATATATTTGTACTAAGAGATTTATTAAATATATATAAATATTTAAGTATGAGCCCAGTAATTAAAATGAGCTATGAATTAAATACAAGTTCAAAACCGATAAATTCTAAGTTCTGACTCTGTTTTTTAATTTTTTTCATAAGATGAGAAGAGTCTAAGGCTATGGTACAAGTGTAGCAGCAAGAGAAAAACATTAATGTAGGTCCATCCCATGTATAATGCTCTCATGTGACAAACCAACATATCTATTCATATGTTCCCACTTGTAAGGAATGACAATTTCGCAATTTAAAAACTATATAAAAATACAACTAATTGTCCGTATTCCTACTCCAATTATAACGTACATATACGCTCTTCCAAATCACCCACATGCAATTAATTGATTAACCATTTTTAATTCATAAAATATATATCACTTAATGTACATCGAAAATCCAATTTTTGACTATTGACGAAGACCCAATTAGGAAAAAGAATTAAAAATTAAGGTAATTAATCACATGAATAATTGGTGAGGCTATTGACATGGACTATATGGGTGCCGATTTTTTGACAAAATATGTAATTACTAAAATAAGTTAAGTTTTATGTATTGATGGTATAAAAATTTATACATAATTATATCATTTATATATTGAATAGATAAATAATTTTTATGATAGTTGGTCGCCTAATAAAAATGATAACCAACATAATGTCACAGGTTAAATTACAGAAATGGTATAGAATTCGTTATACTGTTAGCATATACAACTTAAGTTTAATATAATAATAGTAGTCTTTCTTTCCTAATTTATGTGTCATACTTTTCTTTTAGTTAATCTTAAAAAGAATGTCATACTCCTTTATTTAAAAATAATTTAACTTTAAACTTTCTATTTTATTCTTAATGAGTTAATTTATGAGCACACAAATATTTTTAGCTTATTTTAGATTATAAATTTTGAAAATCTTACTTTAAAAAAAAATAGAGCAAACGCTATCACATAAATTTACACGTGGCAAATAGTAATTAAGTTAGGTACAAATTTAGGATAAACAAGGGAATCTAGAAATGGGGCCAACATAACAAACTGAGAAAGCAAAGAGCCAAATCTGAAAAGGCCTAAAACCCACCATTTAACGCGCTTGTTTTTATTAATTTTCGGGCCCATTGTAGGCCCACATAGTGAGGACTCTTTTCCGTACAATATTCAACATTTTATAATCCCCACCAATCTTATTTTTCTATTTTTTAAACACATTACAAGAATTGAAAATCTTAGCTACAAATTATTAGCAGCCCACGGGAAAAATTAGCATATTATTATTTTAAATTTCCCATCACAACTACCAAATAATAATACCATTTGGATAAATCAATGGTTTTTTTCAAAAATAGTTAAAGAACACTGTCATAATGAACTAGAGACTTAAGTCCTTACTACTAAAAAACTAGAATTAACGACGGAAATATTACGTAGCTAAACTGCAAAATCGGTTGCTAATTTTATTTAGCAACGAATTATTAAAAAATTCTATTAACGACGGTTTCGCGACGACCTTCGTATGTGTGTGTGTAATTTTCCTTTTGAATTCTTATACATTCTTTAAATTTTTTTTCATTTCCTTTGAGATAATTACATATTTACAATGATCAAATGTTAATTAGCTTGTGACAAAATCCACGTTATATTATTATGTACGATTTATGAACTTGATTGTCAGAAATTCGAGTATAATATACTAGAATACCATCAAGAATTTAGAATTTAATTATTTACGTCGATTTCATTGGTAAGAATCGATTCTTTTACACTATAGGTGTTATCCAATAGTTATATAATTGTATTATTATGTAAGATTTCAAGTAGCTTATATCCTATTGCATGTCTAAAAGCAAATATATCCTATTGAGAGTTGATAAAAAGGAGAAAAAAAGAAGAAATACTAAAGAGAAAAAGAACAAGAAACAAGGTCCCCTATTTGCAAAACAAGGGGAAGAACTCCCACTTGGAGATGAGGTTGAGGAGATGGACAAAGGAAGTTGTCAATGTTGGATGAAAAATTATTGAAATGATTGATTTTTTTTTTGAGATCATAGATACTAAGGTTGAAGTTGAACCTAGCCAATAAAGACAAAATGAAGATGGGAAGGACCAATCAATTCTTGCCAGGTAAGATATTATGGGAAAATTCTTGGGGTTGGATATAGTTTTGTCTTTAAGTCCATCAATTTCCCCCTCCTTTAAACATTGGCCCATGACACCCCATCCCATTGGAAGCACAAACTTTGAAAAATATAAGTACCAATTAAAGAACTATAATAATAATAATAATAATAATAATAATAATAATAATAATAATAATAATAATAATAATAATAATAATAATAATTTCCTCACATCAAGAACTATAGGATTGAGATACAAATTTTTAATATGAAATTAAATATTTATTTCTTTTATATATATTATTACATAAAAATACTACAAGTCAATATGATTTTATAATTTAAAATTCTTAAAATGTTTCAAAACTATGATAAGGAAAAAGTATTCGCTTCTCCAAATAATACTAAAGCTGTATATTCGGGATCACATGGAGTAATTAGAGGTGGATTTACCGTATTTAAACTATATGTTCAACTTTTAAGATTCTTAGCATTACACCTATTGTATTTTAAAGTTATGAGTTCATAGCTACTATTGTTGTAATTTTAATAAACTTTTACACATACATTTATGTTTTATGCTGAGTTTATCTGAACCAGATACTTCAAGGTTGCATTCGCATTTGGGAGTAACAATACTTAGGATGCTCAGTATATTCAGATTAATCGAGTTAATGAATTTCGAATAGCTAATCCTTAAAGCAAAAAAAAGCCATAATTTCTTTTCATCAATTTCCTTTTATCTTATTTGATGCTGATACTTCATGTAAATCTACTACTTTATGTTGCTTTTAATACACCAATTGCAATCCAGATAAACATGAAAAATTAAAAATAGAATAAAAAAGGGATGCTCAATGCCATGCTTATGGTCCTGATATATCAGTAGCAGCAAAATTCAGGGGGGATGAACTTACCAATAACATAAGGTCCACAGTCATGTGAACCCCATCAACTTGTTCATTTATCTATTGCCCCCACCTCACATACCCTCCCCACAACCTATACATACACATTTCATGCTACTACTCTCACCGTAGAAAAAATTTAATTTATATGCATGTATTAAACAAATATTTATACAATAAGGTAACATAAAAGGGAATTACATGTAACTCTATTTAGTAACGTTAGCCAGTATTTTACTATAACAAATTAAATTATAGTGATGCTGTAAAAATTTCAAAGTATTTATTATAAAATATATTTCATAAATTTACTCCCTGGCATACCCCATATTAGGGCATACTACTAATTAAATACCCTCCCCCACTTTACCACCAATGAATCTTCCTAGTTCCTTACCTCTTTCTTCTCTTTGGGTTGACCCATAATACCCACATCTCCATATCTTCAATTGAACTAGTATTTTATATTCTTTTGTCATAGAAAAATAATCTTTATTGCACACAAAAAATGGGGTAGACTTCCTATATATATATATTGAACTACTCTTTCTTTCAACAACCAATTCATACTCTTCAAACTCTCTTCTCTCTCTCTAACTTCCTACAACCAATTCTTGAACTATTTTAGACCTCTTTTTCCTTTCTCATAAAAAAAACAAAACATAAAAGAAAATGGAAGGTAGCAGCAGCATAGATGAGAGCACAACTAGTGACTCTCTATCCATTGCTCCGGCAATATCCACGTCGACTTTACCGGTGATGAAGTCGCCGGAAAGTCTTTGCCGAATGGGAAGTGGAACAAGTGTGATAATAGATGCTGAAAATGGAGTTGAAGCTGAATCAAGAAAACTCCCATCTTCAAGGTACAAAGGTGTGGTCCCACAACCAAATGGTCGATGGGGCGCACAAATCTATGAAAAACATCAGCGAGTTTGGTTAGGTACCTTCAACGAAGAAAATGAAGCTGCTAGGGCTTATGACGTCGCGGCCCAACGTTTCCGTGGCCGCGACGCCGTCACAAATTTCAAGCCCTTGCTTGAAAATGAAGAAAATGATGATATGGAAATTGCTTTCTTGAATTCTCATTCAAAAGCTGAAATTGTTGATATGCTTCGTAAACATACATATATTGATGAGCTTGAACAAAGCAAGAAAAATTATGGATTTAGTAAAGATGGTAAAAGAACATATTGTACTAAAGATGGGCTAATGAGTTCATTTTTTAGTAGTGTTGACAAAGTCAACAAAGCGCGTGAACAACTCTTTGAAAAAGCTGTTACACCAAGTGATGTTGGAAAACTTAATAGGCTTGTTATACCAAAACAACATGCTGAAAAACATTTCCCTTTACAAAATGGAAATACATCAAAAGGGGTTTTGTTAAATTTTGAAGATTTGAATGGGAAAGTTTGGAGATTTAGATATTCCTATTGGAATAGTAGCCAAAGTTATGTGTTGACAAAAGGATGGAGTCGCTTTGTTAAGGAGAAAAATTTGAAGGCTGGCGATATCGTGAGCTTTCAGCGATCCACAGGCGAAGATAAGCAATTGTACATTGATTTTAAGGCGAGAAATGCAACACCCACAATTAGTCCTACAGTTGCTAGTCAAGTTCAAGTTCAGGTGCAAGTTCCTCAGGTACAAATGGTGAGATTATTTGGAGTTAACATATGCAAAGTACCAGCTGTAAATAATGTTGTTATTAATAATAATAATAACAACAATAATGATAATAATATGACTAGTTGCAGTGGTGGCAAAAGGAGGATAGAGATGGAGTTGTTGACATTTGAGTCATGTAGAAAGAAACAAAGGGTTATAATTAATGCCTTGTAACATGTAATAGTAACTTTTCCCTTTTTGTTTTATTTGTGCTTTTCAAGTTTTATTTTAGAAGTTGCAAAGAAACTTTCAGTTGTATATTAGTATTAGAGAAGAAGAAATTAGCTCAAAAGTGAGCTAACTTAGGTGATGTGAAAACAAAGAAATGTGAATCACTTCTTTTCAAAAATTGAGTTCTTGTTTATTTTTTATTGTTCTTTTTAATAGTTAATTCCAAGTAGTTTGACAAATTTCATGTTTTTTTTGGAGTGTTGTTGCTTTCAAAAATATCTCTATGTTGCATACATGTACCTGATCTTTTCTTCTCTCTCTTCACACACAAAAACACATGTTCATTAAATTTAATAAAAATCCTTCTTTTTTTTTGAAATTTTGTTTTATATCCGGTGTTTAATATTCATGTTGGAGTCTGATTAAGTGGGCGTTTGGATATAAGAATTGTAAAATTTCGGGAAAAAGTAAAAAAAAAAAATGTTGCAACTAAAAAATGGTATTTGAAAATTAGAGTTGTGTTTGGAAATGAATATACTTTTGGGCTGTTTTTGACTTTTTGTGAGTGATTTGAAATGAGAATTTTGAAAAATAATTTTTTGACGTTTTTTAATTAAAAAAAAATCAAAATTTATTTTCAAGTGAAAACTAAAAATTTTATGGCCAAACATTAATTTCGAATGAAAGTGAAAATTTCTGAAAAAACGTGAATTTTTTTAAGGCCAAATGGGCATTAAATACGGATTCGTGCAGGAAAATTTGACGTTAAAAATAAAGTGATTCATAACAAAGACGACTTCATACTTAAAGCCAAAACCCCGAGACCTTTGGTTCAGTGTGTGAAGAATCTTGTTTCGATAATAAGGGTGGGCTGTATTTGTGCCAGTGGGCGATTTGTGAATAGACAAAAGAGGCATTTGAGCAGTTTTGTTATATTGAATATTACATGTTCATACACACAACTTTCGACCAACTAGAACTATCTATATAGGATTTTGGGAACTTTCCTATAATGATGCTTTTTGAAAAAGATAAAAGTTGTAGGTTACAACTAATATATGATATTATTATAATGTCTCAAATCTGGGGATCTAATTGTGGTAATATTCTTTTCTATGGTGGGCTACGAAGATCAACAAGAATAGTAAGAGAAAGTTGAATTGTAGCTTCTGGGTAGGGAGTGGGATATCAGATATAAGAATAATTATCTATCTGAGTTTAATTTGTATATACGGATAAAATAAGATATTTTTACATTATCAGCTTAACAACTTGTTTGGATGGTTGATACATATCGCTTGATAATATATTATATTATATTGTATCGTTTTGTGCTGTATATGTCTTGAAGAATTCAAATTTTTGATAGATTGTTTGTTTGTCGTTGTTTCATGATGTCATGCATCATCAATATAATATGAAGAATAAACTTGTAATATCACAATAAAAAAGGGTACGGGATAGGATTGCTATGTAACGACATGATAGATTATTAAAATATGATTATTTAATAATAAAGAAGAGCAAGATGAGAGAAAAAAAAGATAACGACATGACCACACTGAATCCGTCATTACATAAAATGATTATTTTTTCTCATTACGTAATGGTAGATTTAATCGTACCTCAAGATAAATATTATACTTAAAGTAACAATATGGTATAATATAATAGGTAACAACTATCCAAACAAGCAGTAAAGTGACATACAATATGAGGTACGTATCTAATTTAATAACCTAGAAAATAAAGTATATGATCTGTTCCGATAAATAAAAATGCATTGATAATGTAAAATATTTGTTTATAGATTAGTAGATGAGAGATAATATATCGTTTTGGCAAATTAAAATATTTGTTTCAAAACATTTAATGATTTAAGATAGAAAGTCTTTTTTCAGATTTGCTCTTAATATAGTAATTAGTAGAGTAGTACTATTAATCAAATGACATTTAAGTAGAGATAAATATGTATTAGTATGATAAATATAATTAAGACTATCAAATATCTTTTTAAAGGGTGTGGGAAAACTTTAAAAGACATTATATATGGATCGGAATTTTTTTCATAATCTTGAATGTTGTGATTTTTTTTTGGAGGGTTGGGGTGGGTNAACAACTTTCACATTATTAAAGTACTTAATTATATTCAGTTATGTAATTATTTTTATCCAGATTTTAAATAATATGCATGATTTATCATGTAATTTTGGGTTTTCAAAGAAAAGAAGTCCAGATTCATGTACTGAATCTAATACAGAACTAAAGTAAAATGAACGAATCTTGTGACAAATATTTCGTAGTGAGTGAAAAGCTGTAAAAATCTGCTTCTATGCTTTCAAAAACTCTTTTATATCTGATATTGTCATCTATTTTCCAGACAATAATATTTTCTTCAATAAATCGATAAACTCTATGTTCTTCAATTAAATCAGGTTCAACGTATTAGTTTGCTTATCTGCAAAGGTTTCTTTAATAAAGAAAAAAAGAATATTTAGTTGATTAAAATGATTCTCAATGATACGTAACGAAATCCAAAATATAATTGTTAATGCATGAAAGTTCTAATTAATATTCATATCTATAAAATAATGTGTATTAAACAATGTCAAAGCAAGCATATAAACTAGAATCAAATCTCCCTCTAAACCACAAAACTCAAAAGTTAGCAAATAAAACTTGATATTTTCATTTTAATATTTGGCTTAGTACGTTAAAGATGAAAGATTGTGATTAATTAGTTTGAAAAACTGAAAATGTCAAAAGATCATCACACATGTTTTTTTTAGATTCTTTAGTGGCATCTTAGATTAAGTCAATTTCTGTTAAAGTCGTGTATTTTCTTGGAAACTACATATAGTTAAGAGTATAGCATGTTCACTCACGATCTTCTTAATTACATTCTGGCTATAGTATTAAATACATGAATTTTACTTCTAAATTTTCTTCTCATGATTGTCAATGATGGATTAATTTCTCCAACTTAACCAAAGTAATTGTATACGAATTACAGCTATAAAAAATAATATTCCTCATCTCAAAAGTAAACAACTAAAAGAAGATACAAACTGCTTTTCTTTTTTGGAGTGGTTGAAGCATATACGAATCCATAATCTAGGGTTAAGTGAGTTCAGAATTAATATAATTTTATAGATGTGTAGATTTGAATTTTTTTGCATGTGCATATATAGTTCGATTGCAATTAGTTCGGTTGAATATATACGAAGGTAAGAATTACGGCTATAAATTAATCACCATCTCAAAAAGTAAACAACTTAAAGAAGATATAAAATGCTTCTTTTTCTTTAGCGCAGTTGAAGTAGACACGAATTCAAGATCTAGAGTTGTGACATAATGAGTGTGACCTATAGGTCAGCTGTTCGAGTCGTGGAAGCGCAACGAATAATGCTTCCATTAGGGTAGACTGTCTACATCACACTTCTTAGGGTGCAATTCTTTTTCGGATCATGCGTGAAAACAAAATGCTTTATGCACCGAATCCAAGATTTAGAGTTGGTGGCACCTGTAACCTATAGGTCAGTTGTTCGAGCTGTGAAAGCAGACAATAATGCTTGTATTAGGGTAAGCTGTCTACATCATACCTTTTAGGGTGCAATCTTTCTCCGAATCATGCGTGAATACAAAATGCTTTATGCACCGAACTGTCCTTTTATATATACATATTTTAAAACGACAATAATAAATTCAATTGAATCTACAGAAGTCGCCCCAAATTTTTCCAAAGAGAATTTGGAGAAGACGAGATTTATGTTATGGTAGGTGTAATGTATGTACATGAAAGTGCAGGAGACAACCTTATCTGAGACAAGGAGTGCACCATGTTTAACAGGCAGTAAGATGCTTGTACGGTATGTTTGTCCACTCCATGTTTTGTATTTTACTTACTTTATTTTCTTTTCTTTTTTCTTCTTTTTTTGGTACATGTAACCATAGGAAGATAAAGGAAGAATATGGGATAATATGTCAGTAGCATATACTCTAGCATCTTCAAAAAATGAAGATTTTATTTTTTTCAAAAAAAATATTACTGAGGTTGACACTACAATATAATTGTAACCTTCCTAACTTTAATTAGCTTTCATGATCCTTCATATGGCTATATTTATTGTACTATTTAATTAATTAATTTTCTAAAAAAAATCTCATTTTATCTTTATGGTAAAAGGCATTTGAACGATTATTATCATTATTATTGTAAAATGAGATCATTAAAAAAACTAAACACTATTCCTTTTCCTGATTCCGCTGTAATAGATAAAAATAAAAATAAAGCAGGAATGCCGAGTTCTACAGTGAATTTCTGCTATGGTTAGCCCAGTTGGACTCATATTAGATTGGTGGTTAATTCTTCAAAAAGGATCTTTACATAAATAGCCAGACCAGTTCATTGTTTATTTTTTTCTAGCCGCTATATATAAATTATAAATTGATTATACATGAGTATATACATATTAACTAAAATTTATATATATATATTATACATTTATCGACTATTTTTAATTTGAATGATTGAATGTACAACTATATATTATATTTAATGACCCATTGGTACTGGAAGTAAACTGCTGATAAAAGGTTCCATGAAATAAACCTGGACTCATCTCAAGTTTCTAGAACACACATCACAATATAATTCTAATCTTTATTCTTTATAAATTGTAGCCAGTATAATCAGTGTGTATATATTATACTGTTTATACACTTGTTATACACTTATTATACATCAACGATGGCCATAAACTTTTACGACTAGACGGATTTAATTGCCTGGCTAAATAATGTTAGAAGAATTGACCTAAATAGCTACTCACCCAATGGTTAAACTAAAAATAGTTGGTGGATAAATTATCGAAGCATAATATATTTTGTGTATAATTGATGTATACCGGTTAAAAAAAATAAACAATGAATCCTAAGGCTAGTTCTATAGATTCTAAAATGTTAAGATTCGAGTTAAGTACACAAATATCCCTCAAAGTGGATGGTCTTAAATTTTGTCCCTGCTTGCGTATGGGCAGAATTTCAAGTTTAACAAGTACTGCCCCTCGCTTGCCCCATGAGCAATGCTTTTAGCTTTTGACCTTGAATTTTTGCCCCGTGGTCAAAAATTAAAGATCACCCAATAAGTGTCATTTCGGTAATTGTTTGAAGATCCCCTCTTATATGAATGAGATCTTTA